CAGATCTCCGGTAATTTGTCTGTCACTGGTCACACACTACACCAGTGTTTCTTCCTTTTTCCATGATACTCCAGATTGTTGATGTCTGTGTTATGGCTCTCCACTGAATTGTTTTCTTTCAGTGTTCAAATTACAAGCTTTACTTTCAGAACCACTTCAGAACTCACTGACACATCAACAGCAGACCCTTTGATGATGACATTGGATCACCGAAGTTATTGTTGACATGCAATTTGGGACCAAATACAATTAAATCATTTCCATTTACACGGAGTTTGTTGTCTGAATGCTTTGGCTCATCTAAATGTGCCAAAAAGACACAAATCATTTCCAGAACTGACCAGAAATTAACCTGTCCATGCTCCTCCCACAAATTTACACTTTTGTAGCAACTGTGGAACAAGAGTGGAAAAATCTCATTCTATATAATGAGGCACTGTAGCACACAACTCTAAATGATTCCCATTAGACTCCAATGCTGTTTAGAGTTGGAACATGATGCTGGGTTTCCAGTTTAAAATGCTACACTGCCAAGCTGGACTATGCTGTAGCAAATTAATAGAAAAACAAAACCCAATATTTCCAAATGAATCAAACACTTTAAAGGAATCATTCTGTAAAAAATCTACCACTTTTCCACTTACCTTAAACGATTTATCAGCCAAGACTTTTTTGGTGTCCAAGTTTTGCTACTTTAGTTTAGAACTGAAGCTACAAGCCTAACATGTATCATTCAGGATAGACTTTAAGGTTCTGCTACTAGTTTTTAAAGCTCAAAACGACCTTAAAGCACCGCTTACATCACAGAGTGTCTGTCTGTTTATGTTCCAGCACGTAATATAAGATCTGCAGATAGTGGCCTTCTACAGATACCCTCTGTAAAATACAGAAAACATAGAGAGGCCTCTTTCAGTTATTCTGCTTCTAAACTGTGGAACTCAATTCCACCTTTTATTAGACAGTCAAGCTCAGTGCTCACATTTAAGAAGCATTTAAAAATGTATCTTTTAAGTTAGCATTTAATTAAAACTCTACGTCTCGTGGTGTTTATCTTCTAATCTAATCTTTTTCATTTTCTTCTGATTCTAAATAAATACTAATGATTTCTTGTATAACTATGTTTTATCACCTGTGTGTAAAGCACTTTGAGCCGCCACCGGCATTAAATAAAAAGTATTATTATTAATTATTATTATTATAAACATTTTCATTATAACATTGCTAATGAACTGAAATTCAATAGTCACCCAAACTGTTTTTGTGAAAACTTCCAAATCTCCAAAACTTCTTTTAACCCACTTAAACGATATCCAGGTCTTAATTCAGGTTGTGTGGACAAGCTGATGTGCATTAGAACACATTATGACTCATTTAGGATAACTGGAATCACTGCCTTCCTGAGCACTTTGGTATTGTACCCGCACAAGATGACCAAACACATAGCTTTAAGGGAACTCAAAACACAGAACCACCACAGACTAATGTAGGTAGAGAAGGTATAAGAGTGTACTCAGAAAATCAATACAGTGTGTAATTATGAATTTGAAGACCATATTTTCTAAACAAATAAGCCTCAACTGTCTTGTTTGAGTAAAATACTCATGAAGAAATGCATCAGTTGGATGCAGGACCCACCACTGACTCCCTGTACTACATATGGCATGACAGTACGTGAGCGCAATGAAGATGGAGGAAAAAGTAAGCAGTGCTTGTTTTGGATTCACTTATTTGAAGTGTCATCTGTACAAATATACTTGGAACAGTTGTATTTTGGGATATCCCAAAAGGAGACCTTCTAATCATCAGGTGAAAAAGATCACCATCTACATGGAGAAGTTTAAGGGTAACTTTACTGAACATATCTAGTTTGTGATTCGTTGCCAAAAGCCACAGTTTGCGTGTGTGTTTGAGCAGGAAATCGGTGATCAGGGCTGGAGTGGGATTTGTTTTCAGACCGGGTGTCACAGGATGCAGACCAGCCCACCCCAAACTCTACGTACACATACAAAGTGGGTAGGCCAGCTTTTTAGGTACAATTTCAGAAGGCGCTAACGTCCAGTAATGTCATTATAGCAGGCTGTAGGCTAGTCCAAACAGCAGTGCAGTCGTCGCCTTGCATATTCCAACACTTTTATAGTGATACAAAACAACAGATATACTTTTAAACATCTCCATTTGCATCTTTGAACCACAATTAGAGCTTCAAATTCAAAAACTGGCATAAGATAACAGACTGAAGGCTTGAAACAAACATAATAAACTCTGCAGAGCTCTGCCTGTTGTGTTTGTCAATGCCAGATTGGATGATATTGTGGCCAGATTCACACAGTCCTGTTGTAATTGATTCGCTAATCTTTCAAGGCAGATGTTAGCCTCTTATTTGAGTTTCCTTTCCACCTTAAACAATGCAGCAGCTGCATTCTAGCGTATGCCCAGGCATTTGAACGTAACAGCTGAACCATTTAAAGTGGAACTGGAATTAATAATGAAAAGCTAACTTAAGCTTCATCTAATTTCTATCCACTGTATGAGATTCTGTTACAAACTGGGGCTGTCTTACTCAAGACAGGGGCCTTAAGTCACTGCAGATATACAACCCAGTTTCCAAAAATGTTGGGACGCTTTGCAAAAGAAATTATAAACAGAATGCAATGATATGCAAGTCATTTAAACCCTATATTTAATTAAATATAGTACAAAGACAACATATCAAATGTTAAAACTGAGAATTTCTTCTTTTTTTTTCAAAAAAACATATGCCTATTTTGCATTTTATCCCAGCAACACGGTCCATGTTCACCACTGGGGTGCATCTCCTCTTCTTTAAACAGCACTTTGTAAGTGTTATTTGGAATAAAATCTTATTATACATTAGCATACACTGAATGGAGGAGATGTCAGACAGTGGTAATATATATCTCATATACATACTCATATTCATATTCAATAACAGTACAGTAACACTGCAGTACAAGTACATAATCATTTTGTTGAAACACAACCATTAATGAGTAACGAGCATATACTCTACTGGATTGAAAACTCAGTCAGTGATGTGAAGTGTATAGTTTATGATATGATCATGAATACCTGAATATAAAAACAGAGAAACCTTCTTTTCAAGGAAGACACACGATGTTAACCCCTTAAAACCCCTGACTTATCACATACTAAGGCTTATCATTTAGTAGCTACAGGGACTTCAATGCAAACTGGTTTAGCTATTCTTAGGTCATAGAAGCGTATAATAAGATTTTGGGCCTGCAGGTGGGCCCTGGTCAGCTAAGGGGTTAAGCCCATGGTATTCAAGATATTGCATTTATTATATGCTCCTAAAAACTGATACAGAAACTCTAAACGTTAATGGTATATGACATTGCTGGACCTTTGCATGAGTGTCCTAATATATTCATAGTCCTCCACAGTCATAAATTATATGCAATTATATGAATTATATACTGACCTGTTTTCATGACTGTTCTAAATAGATTATTTATAGCTCATACAAATAATCCTAGGTGTCTTGTAGTACTATAAGAGACAGTACTGATCTAGATCTTACAGCTTAAGGGAGAACTGAGATGCCCTGCAGTATTTCCAGTCTAGAGTTCACCATGACATGAGGTGTACACCAAGCATCACTGAATGTGTTTTCAGTTCATTACATAATTTGCTGCCCATTAATGAATGTGTAATGTTTTCAGACCATGGTTTCTTCTGAACTGTTTTTACAGACTGTGGTTTTCAGAAGTGTTTCTGCGCCCATGCAGTGATTTCCACCACAGAATCATGTCTGTTTTTAATGCAGTGCCGCCTGAGGGCCTGAAGATCACAGCCATCCAATATAATTTTATTACAGGAGGTTACAAACTTTCAGGGCGTATTTGGTGTGAAACTGACAAAGACTGACCAAACTTTTTGGTGTAAGATGAATTTATGAATTCTTTGCATGCTAGCCTGAAACAGGACTGAGCTTGAGAGATGACTTTTGACTTCTGGGAAAACTACTAAACTCTGTGTGACTATGATGATACAGATAAGGTTACAGCCTACATCACCATCTTTCAGTGATAACATTAGCAGGGATGAACACTCTGCTGCTGGATTTTCATTGTTTTCCTGTTAGCCGTGAGACCGTCTTGTATCCTTTTATCTCTTTTAGCTCTCATCAGCAAGAAAAAGCCAGTAAGAGATTTACTCTTGTTCAGTCTCTTTCTCTTTTTCTCTTCTTTGCTTCCTCCAACGTCTTCTTCAGTCTCCCCTACACTACAGTTATCATTTCAGTGGTAGAGTTCATAAGAGAGAGAGAGAGAGAGAGAGAAGAAAGACTTACTAACTCTCACTGATATCACTGAGATAGATAGATAGATAGATAGATAGATAGATAGATAGATAGATAGATAGAAAGAGAAGACTTACTATCACTGATGTCATAGAGACTGATATCACAAGACTTACTATCACTGAGAGAGAAGGACAGAAAGAAAGAAAGAAGGAAAGATTTATTAACTCTGTTACTGAGAGAGAGAGAAAGAAAGAAAGAAAGAAAGAAAGAAAGAAAGAAAGAAAGAAAGAAAGAAAGAAGACTAATTCTATCACTAACATAGACAGATAGATAGATAGAGAGAGAGAGAGAGATAGAGAGGGTTAGGCCTACTATCTCTTTTGCTTAGACAGCGAGAGATAGAAAAAGAGAGAGAGACAGAGAGAGAATGAGAGAAGAAAGACTTACTATTACTGAGATAGAGATAAAGAGAGAAAGAAAGAGAAAAGAAAGACTATCACTGAAAGAGAGAGAGAAAGAAGAAGGAGAATGTAGCTGAGTGAAACAGTCACAATATAAGAATGAGAGAGAGGGAGAGAGAGAGAGAGAGAGAGAGACAGAATGGTAGTGTGGTGGTCTCTAACAGCAGCAGCCCGCCCTATCTGTGGCTTGTGTCCCATTGTGCGAGTCCACCACCCCTTTAAGGAAATGAGCACATCCTGTTGTTTTAGCTGAGTCTTCCTGCATAAAGGTTCCTACATGTGATCTGTGCTTCACTGATAGACACACATTCACTCACTGCACCAGCACTGGACTTACAGCACCATGGATCTCCTCAGACCCTCACCCTGCCTAAGACCAGTGTGGAGAGCCCCTTTCTGGGGTAAGTCTGACCTCGCTGCTTGTGTTTCTGGTGTTCTTGAGTGAAATTACTGTAATACATGTGGCCAGAACACATGTGAAGAACTCTGTCTGAGCTAGAGCTCTGAAAGGAATATGAATGTTCATAAACAAGAACGTTAATTATGAGTTTTGAAGAGTTCTCTTAGGTCCAGAACTGTATTATGAAATAGATCATGTTGAAGGAATACAGAAGACTGAAGTGAAACAAAGAAAAATTCTAATTTTAAATGACAAATATGTGACTAGATGAAATTTAACCTCTTAAAAGTGACCTAAACCCCTTAATCTGCAGGCTTTTACTCACTTTTAATCTCATTATAGATACATACTCACATATTGTTAAGGAACTACTGTAACACTAAGTCTATGTAGTTATATATAGGAATTGAAAGGTGGGCACATATAAGGGGCTCTAAAGTGGTTAACAATATTATAAATATTATATATTAATAGTTTGAAAAGATATTTATAATAGCTATTCAATATTACTCTAATCGATTCACTACCTTCTAAAAATTTTTCAGCAACTACTGTAAATGATTCAGTAATGATTAATGATTCAGTAACAACTATAAAGACTGAGTAAACAGTTTAAATTATTAAATTCAGTAACAGCTATAAATTCCTCAGTAACTACTAAAATTATCCAACAATTACTACTAGAAACTGAACTTTTATTATAAATGATTCAGTATCTACTAAATTATTCAGCAACTGTTATAAATTACTCAATAACTATAAATGATGCAGTATCTACTATAAACGATTCAATAACTGCTATAAATTACTCAATAACTACTAAAAATGATCCAGTATCTACTATAAATGATTCAGTAACTGCTATAAATTACTCAATAACTAATATAAATGATTCAGTAATGGCCACAAATTTCTCAAAAACCACTAAAAATCATTCAGTATCAACTATAAATGATTCATTATCTACTAAAAATGATTCAGTAATGGTTATAAATTACTCAATAACTACTATAAATTACTCAATAACTACTATAAATGATTCAGTAATGGCTACAAATTTCTCAAAAACCACTAAAAATCATTCAGTATCAACTATAAATGATTCAGTAACTGCTATAAATTACTCAATAACTACTAGAAATGATTCAGTATCTACTAAAAATGATTCAGTAATGGCTATAAATTACTCAATAACTACTATAAATTACTCAATAACTACTATAAATGATTCAGTATCTACTATAAATGATTCAGTAACTGCTATAAATTACTCAATAACTACTAAAAATGATTCAGTACCTACTATTAATGATTCATTAACTGCTATAAATTACTCAATAACTACTAAAAATGATTCAGTATCAACTATAAATGATTCAGTAACTGCTATAAATGACTCTATAACTGCTGTAAATGATTCAGTAACTGTTATGAAACTGATATATAAGTTCATCAGTATTCAGTAATGATTCAGTAATGGCTACAAATTTCTCAAAAACCACTAAAAATCATTCAGTATCAACTATAAATGATTCAGTAACTGCTATAAATTACTCAATAACTACTAGAAATGATTCAGTATCTACTAAAAATGATTCAGTAATGGCTATAAATTACTCAATAGCTACTATAAATGATTCAGTATCTACTATAAATGATTCAGTAACTGCTAGAAATGATTCAGTATCTACTAAAAGTGATTCAGTAATGGCTATAAATTACTCAATAACTACTATAAATTACTCAATAACTACTATAAATGATTGAGTATCTACTATAAATGATTCAGTAACTGCTATAAATGACTCTATAACTGCTGTAAATGATTCAGTAGCTGTTCTGAAACTGATATATAAGTTCAGCAGTTAAAAGTGAGAAACTGAAGTGTGGACCAACATACAAAGATTTTCAAGGGTTAATTATTGCATTATTGGGCCTAAATGTAGCTCACGGAAGCCGTTTTTCAGAATATTCATTTGTTCGACATCAAAGAAGCCTTTCTGGCGCATTTTACTTTTGGACAGTTTTCGAACACTGAAATAAGTGCTGTGGTCAGGAAATGCCTGCCAAAGGCCAAATACACTGGACAAAGAGAGGATGCTCTACCACCCCTCTCCACTTATCTTTCTCTTTCTCCTCCCTTCCTCCCTCTGAAGATGATAAGGTCAAAATGTGTCAGTGTGTGTGTGCTCTTGTGTTTTTTACATTTCCAGGAAAAATATGTCCTGACTTTGTAGGGAAACCAGAGTAGAAACTGTTCCACTGTACGGGACAAACAAAATGATCCTGACTCTGTAAAATGTTTTTTTTCTTTAAAGTTTCTTATTTGATTTTTTAAGATGGAAAAAAAACAAAAGCATTACTTTTTGCATAGTAAGGTTTAGATAAGAGTTGCTTTAGAAACAATAATACATGCATAGATGTAATATATACGGTACACAGGCTATTATTTCTAGGGCGGTCAAAGGAATCCATTTACAAAGCAATGTGTTATATGAGTGGACAAAAAGGGCTTCATCTGAATGTATTTATTACTGTCAGTGCCTCCATAACATTATTTTTATCATATGAAAGCCTACACTGTAAAATAATTGGGGGTTTTAACTTAAGTAGTGCCTGGGCTGCCTTTAATCTGAGAATAGCTCAACCAATTGAAGCCCTGTAGTTACTGAGTAATAAGCCTTAGTAAGAAGGTTCACATTAAAAAAATGTGTTATTAATGCAGGATCATACATGTGTGTTTAACACTGACAGCAGCAATTATTACATGCAGATATATATATATATATATATATATATATATATAGGATATGTTTAGGACAGTTTCAGACAATTTACTCTGTATACATGCTGACATACATAAATGATTTTTTAATATTTTGTTTGCTTTGAGTTAATATAGTATTACACATTTGTGAGTATGTTTGTATATGTGAATCAAACTCTGTGTTTCTTTTTCTTCAGTAACCTGCCTGGTTTTGATGTTTAGTGGCCTGCATGCCCTCATTCCAAATGGACAGAAGGACAATTTGGTGAGGTCCCTTTTTGCCGATAAATTTGACCAAACTTCTAAGAAAATTCAGTAACCACACTGCATTGAATTGACTTGATTCCGAAGTGTGCTCATCATTTTCTACATTTATTAAATATATTTCATCAACATACTTTTGTTTTTCTGTTTTCTCTTTATTACTTATAACAATAACTGCATTGATACAATGTTTTCTTCATGTGCAAATGATTTCTACACGTGAATCAAGCAAATGTAATGCCTTACTCGTTCATATTGTGTATTGTTAGAATTATATCAGTTTACAGTGTAAATGAACTCTTTTGCCAATCATGAGTAAAAGTATGCAGTGAAAGCAGTGCCTTGTGCATTTTACATAACCTGCTTTTCTTCCCTCTCTCTGCTCCAGGTCAGGACAACACTCCCCGTCCTCCCAGGAGTCCAAACCACACCGCTAACCACAATAAGTGAGAGAGCCTATAACAGCCCAGCTGTCAAAATATAATGGCCTAGTCTGATAGGAGATCAAGGGCTTCCGCCCACGCTTGGCCGCCAGGTCGGGCTGAGTGATAGCACATTTTTAAGGCTGATTGGAGCGTGCTGACAAATTTCCCAGGCTTTCAATTTGACATGCTGCAGAAGGGGAATTGGTGAAATACCACTTTTCACTGTGAGAGGGCTCATATTTATCTGTACATACTTAAAAATAAGGGTTCCTAAAAGGTCATTGGCTTGGACATACAGTTCCAGGAAAAAAAGCTTTAATTGGTATTGAATGTTTATGTGATATGGGGGTCCTTTTAATACAGAGATGAGTATTTAAAACAGCTCTATGGAAGATGTTTTTGCTTAAATTGGATAACATAGCATTAGTACCTCAGAGGTAAAAAAAACAGGCTAAATATGAGGTGCATCTGCTGCGAGTCATTCTGTAAGGCCTGAAATAATCATTTAAAAGTGAGGGGTGTTGAGTTGGAGTTATGTCAAACATTTATATATGAATGTCACAGGCTCAAAAAGAAAGTCCGGCTCAATGTTTAGAACTCCAATACAAAATCAACATTATTTTGTTGAAGATACGATGACAATAGTAGAAACTTCACCTACATTCTCTGAAGAACTGTCCTTCATTCAGTTTTGACTGAATTCTCTTTGAATTCTCTTTCGTCAGATTCATCCGCTTGTGGGGGTTAAAAGCAAAACCCACATTACAAAATATTCATATTGCGTGCAATTACACATTTCCACCAGAGAGTTGGAAATCCCCAAAACTTGCATAATGCAGCCTTAAGGAACCATCCACTAAAAGGTCATTTATGGCAGGAGTTCTCTCTTTGTGAATAGTAAGTGCATCTGCAAAGGCCACCCAGTTTGAGAACCACCGCCTTATGAAACCAAAAGTGGTTCTTTTACGGCATTGTTTCAGTGAACTCTCTTGGGGTCTATTTGGCGACTTTATTTTTAAGAGTGTGGTTAGGAAAGTGGCAGCACCTCACAACAGCACTTTTAGGCTATGTACACATTACAAACCTCATTACTCAAATCTGATTTTTTGCTCCACACTTTTGCGTAGGCAAGTGACTCAGGTCTGTCATTGATGTGAACCAACCTGCGTCCTGAAATGACCTGAAACAAGGCACATTAAGCCTTGTTTAGACTGGCAGCCCAAATCTGATTTTTGTCATATCTAGATTGTATCCAGATAGGTTTTTTTATAGTCTGGACAGCAAAAACCACATGAAATCTGATTTTTGTAAATCAGATTCAAACCACTTTTGGTGGTGGTTTGAAATGCAATTCCAGTCATATTTTTACAGGTGCGTCTCAGTCTGAAAGTATCTTTTGTGTCACTCACAGCATGACAAACAATGACAATGACAAATCGAGAGTGACAGAAGTGCTGGGATTTGGGAAGAGCACCAAAGGTTCACGCTTATGCGAAAGAATAGATTTGACATATTTGTGTTGCGAGTGACGAAAAAGACCCTCAGAAATCTGATTTGAGCGTCCAGAGCCCAGAGCGTCCAGACTGAGACACACATGTAAAAATCTGATGGGAATTGCATTTCACACCACCTCCATATTGTGGTCTGAATCTCATTTGCAGAAATCACATTTCATGTGTTTTTTTTGCTGTCCGGGCTATCAAAAATCAATCTGGATACAATCCGGATATGACAAAAATCGGATTTGGCCTGTCAGTCTGAACTTAGCCTAACATTTTTTGCTCTTTCATAACAAAATAGTTTGACCTAACCGAAGATTTAAGAGACCTTCAGCTGCAGCTGTGAAGCCTCTCTGTTCCTCAGGATGGGGTAAAGCAGGAGCTTACACAGCTGACCGCTGAAGCCCACACACCGATTCTTGCCTCATGCATGGTGTCTGTTTTGAGGTCAAAGGTCATCTGAGATGTGAGGCATGTCTGAGACAGACAGCTTGTCCAGACGGCCTTCATGCCACAGCGAGAGCAGAGATAAAGGAAAGCAGCAATGGGACTTTTCTATTCTAACATCTTCTGGCATATATAAAGATATGTATTATGTGAATATATATTGCTTACATAAAGTGTGGTATGTTCATTAACAGTACAGTAACACTCCATTACAGTTACACAATCGTCTTGAAACATTAGACATTCATTAATGAGCAGCAAATTATGTAATGAACTGAAAACACATTCAGTGAGGCTTGCTGTACACCTCATGTCATGGTTAACTGTAGACTGGACATACTGTAGGGCATCTCAGTTCTCCCTTAAGCTGTAAGATCTAGATCAGTACTGTCTCTTATAGTACTACAAGACACCTAGGATTATTTGTATGAGCTATAAATAATCTATTTAGAACAGTCATGAAAACAGGTCAGTATATAATTCATATAATTGTTCATTTATGACTGTGGAGGACTATGAATATATTAGGACACTCATGCAAAGGTCCAGCAATGTCATATACCATTAACGTTTGGCGTTTCTGTATCAGTTTTTAGGAGCATATAATAAATGCAATATCCTGAATACCATGGGCTTAACCCCTTAGCTGACCAGGGCCCACCTGCAGGCCCAAAATCTTATTATACGCTTCTATGACCTAAGAATAGCTCAACCAGTTTGCATTGAAGTCCCTGTAGCTACTAAATGATAAGCCTTAGTATGTAATAAGTCAGGGGTTTTAAGGGGTTAACATCGTGTGTCTTCCTTGAAAAGAAGGTTTCTCTGTTTTTATATTCAGGTATTCATGATCATATCATAAACTACACACTTCACATCACTGACTGAGTTTTCAATCCAGTAGAGTATATGCTCGTTACTCATTAATGGTTGTGTTTAACAAAATGATTACGTACTTGTACTGCAGTGTTACTGTACTGTTATTGAATATGAATATGAGTATGTATATGAGATATATATTACCACTGTCTGACATCTCCAAAACTTTCCAGGAGAAATTCATAACTTTCAGTGTATGTTAAAGTATGTATAGATTTTATTCCAAACAATTTTGCACCTTTTCTGTTGGTCCTACACTTTCAAACAATGAAAAACAAAAATGGAGATACAAGGTTTTGTCCTGACACTGTCAATTGATCAATTTACATTATGAATACACACACACACACACACACATACACACAAAAACACACTAATATATTGTCATTGTTGTTTTTCATTTTTGAAATCATTTGAGAGAATCAGCTGTCCTTTACATTGTGTGGAAATTTCATGATGAATGGATCAACAGAAATGCTCTAAATTTGTTAGAAATAACTTTTTTTACATGAACTTACATTCAAACATTTTGGCCTTCTCCCATCTCAGTTACATTTATCTCCTTATAACATTTACTTAGCTCTGTTTGGGTTTATTGTCAATCTGTTACACTGTCTACAGCATCTACACTGCTTTGTGATCGGTCACACCTCCCACTTGTGTCAAATAGGCTATGTTCGCTTTACCAGGTTGAAGTGGCACGAATCTGATTTTTTGCCCTAATGTGACTCAGATCTGATGTTCTCAGGGCTGTGTGGACATATAAATCTGATCTTTTCAAATCTAACCTGAGCCACTTTCATATGTGGTCCTAGATCTGATATGAATCCGATTCGAGGCCATGCGACCTTAATGTGATGCTCAGATCAGAATTCATGTGCTTTTTTCCACTGCGCGTGCGCCATCATTCAGCGTTACCATGGCAGCAGCGCCAAACAGAAATTAAAGCCTGTAAACAGTGAAATAGCAACACATCTCACCTTTCTCACCTTCTAATAATGAATCAGAGTTGATTATCTTCGCAGCGAAGGCTCGTTCTGCTCGTTAGTTTGTTTGCTGTTCATGAGGCATGTGATTCGTATGTGACTTTACTGAGAAGAATCATTTGCGGGTCATTTCAAGACGCTGGTTCGTTCACATTAATGACAGATTTGAATCACTTACCTAAACGGGTGTGAACCATCATGTCAGAGAGATCAGATTTGAGCAATGAGGCTTGTAAAGTGAACGTAGCCATAGAGAAGAATGGAGGCTAACAAAGCTCAGCTACTTTGCTTATAGATGCTGGATGTTCTAAAATGTTCCACTGTAATTTTATAGGGCACTCAGCTCTTAAGGAGTGTTTTGAGCTGCTACTTTTGTGCTTCTACTCAAGTTGTTTCTCAGAAAGGCTTTTTTTACTCTTACATGAGTCATTATTTAACCAATATAACAGCACTTTTATTTGATTATGGGATTGAGCTACTTTACCCACCTCTGAAAACAAATGCAGCCTATTTAGTTAAATATGTGTTGTAAATCTCTGATAGTAATAACAGAATTTGGCTTTCACTTTCATTATGGAGGTTTATTGACCTTCTACTCGTTGGTCGGAGTCTGCTTTAGCAGCTCACCAGGTGTACAGACCTCTAAAGACCTCTATGATGGTCAGTGCTTGTTGCTTTAGGTTGTTTTGGGTCAACTCTTTGACCTGTACAGATTTACTCTGTGGGCCCTGTTCCCAGAAACCCATAAGGACCCTGCTCACGTCAGATCCCTGCGTACCTAATGTTATGATCACTGTGTCCATGCTTTTACGGAGATGGCAGTGACGATAACTCATGCCTGCAGCAAGCCAATCAGAAGTCCAGTTTTGTGGAAGTGGCTGTAAAACCAAACTTCTTCTTTGCGGCCGGAAGCCCGTAGCTTTCACAGGAAGTCGTCTCACACACGGGGGGGTGCAGTCTTAGGGGCATCTGAATGGGAAAAACGGTGGGAAAAACCAATGCCAACAACTTGCTGTTGTGTTAAGGCCCTTCAAGCGCAGCTGGAGGACTTTGGTTAGGTTTTCTGAGCTCGGTCTGCTTTAAACATCTCGGCTGGGCCCTTCTTTTGTCTGTTTCATAAAGACGTGCCTGCTAGCTCGGCCCTAAATGTTTAGCCTACTTATGTTTCCTATTTGGCAACAGCTGCGAGCCGAATAAATCAGAGAGGCAGTGTGTTAGGGAGGCAGCAGCCTGTGAGAAAGAGAGGATAGGAGTGTGGGGGAGAAAAAAAACAGCACAGAGAGAGAGAGAGAGCGAGAGAGAGAGAGAGAGAGAGGGAGGCTAAAGGATTTTCACATGTGTCTCTGGTCAGGGTGTGCTCGCCTCAGAACAGAAGGGTGCCTCAGGGAGACAGAAAGGGAGAAAGAGGGAGAGAAAGAAGGAAGCAAGAGGAAAAGAGACACAGACTGAGTGTGAGAGAGAGAAAATAGAGAAGTAGAGCAAGAAAGACAATAGAGGCAGTCAAAGAGAAGAAGACGTGAGAAAAAGAGAGGAGAGGAAAGTAAGAAAGAGGAGAAAGAAAGTGAAAAGAGAGAGAGTGAGTGAGTGAGAGAGAATAAGAAAGCCCTGTTCTGAAACATCTGCCACGTGCTAACCTGGATTCGCGTTTCCTGTTGCTTCCTCTGGCGTTAAAAAATCCGCTCGATCCGTCCGGAGGAGCCGAGTGGAGCTCCGCTCTGCTATGAGGGGAGCCTTCATCTTTTTAGGGGTGTCGCTCTGTGTCCTCTCGGGTAAGTGCGATTAAGGGTCCCTCTCTGTGGAACAGAGGTGGGACGAGCAGCTAAAACTGTCTTAAAGTAAAAGTGTTGTTACTGTTAAACAATACAAGCAGGCAGAAGTGAAAGTAGCTACCAAAAACTCAGCTTGGGAGAAAAAAGAAGAGTTTCAGGTCCAGAAAGTCCTCCAGTTCCCAAGAGAACTGCAGTGGAAGTTTGGAGCTATTCTTCACTTTCTGGTCTCTGTAAACCGGACTAGGATCTCAATGAGCGCATCAGAATGAAATCAAGCCCAGAAAAGTTCTTAGGAATTAAATGTGAGGGAATAAAGTGACACTGAGCAAAGTATATTCCTTTCCACACAAATATGGTGGAGCAGAGTGGAAGTATTTGAAGACATCCATCAGAATTGTGAATGTATGACTAGTTCTGAACTTTCAAAACATCCCTGAATTTGTTCTGGAGCATCTTACAGCAGATGCTGCACCATAAAAAAGCAGTTCATTACTCTGCAGCCCCATGCCAGCCTGGTTCTTTGTTGTTAGGTTTTATAGGATGAATAACAGCCTGTTGTCACTGTTGTTGATGTTGTTGCCAAGTGATTCATTTGCTCAGCAAATGTTGAGAACCTCCAAGTCTGAATGTGGGTGTAATTGCCCTCTCTCTCGCTCCTCTCTCTTCTTTCATAGGTGGCAGCTTAGAAACGTCGTCATCTGGTGAGTGTCTTACTGTCTGTATGGGCGAGAAGGGCGAAGTGTAACACGGGGTGGAATGTAACACAGATAAACAGGTCCAAGTAGAACACGCTTTGGGTCACTTTCTCGTATTCCCATGGCAGCTTCATCTGTGAATTTGATTACCGAGTCATTTGTATGAGACACAGAATTTACGCCCAGTTTATTACACAAGTTTATTACTTACTAAGGCTTGTTATTAAGTAACTACAGGGACTTCAGTGCAAACTGGTTGAGCTGTTCTTAGGTTATAGAAGTGGGTAATAAAACTTTGGTTCTTTAGGCCCTGGCCATTTAAGGGGTCAATCACCTTCTTGGTCACCGTTATTAGACGATGACGAGATTTCTGAAATGAAAACGGGAACATTTCCAGTTCAGTGGTCAATACATCATTAAAATATCCAATGTTTTTATCAATGAGATAAAATGGAGGGGACACTTCCAGTTTCATGTATTGTGACCACAGTAATGGTTATATTGTAATGCACTGTTTGAAATAAAGGTTCTGTGCAGGTGCAAGGTCCAACTGTGCACCTTAAATACATTTTTCCAGGCATAAACGTTTCTTTAAATGTGAGGAGATTTTATTTTAAGTAATTCTGGAGGATTTCTATTTGTATATTCATTTCAATTTTCAATTTCACACAATGTAAAGGGCTGCTGCTGTGTTCAGCTGCTTGTATCTACACTCATTGCTCATTTTATCAGCTCCACTTACTATATAGGAGCACTTTGTAGTTCTACAATTACAGACTGTAGTCCATCTGTTTCTCTGCATACTTTGTTAGCCCCCTTTTACTCTGCTCTCAATGGTCAGGACCCCCACAGGACCACCACAGGTATTATTTGGGTGGTGGATCATTCTCAGCACTGCAGTAACTTCACATCTACAGGGTGGGCCATGTCAACGTCACTGCAGAACTGAGAATGATCCACCACTCAAATAATACCTGCTCTGTGGTTGTCCTGTGGGGGTCCTGACCATTGAAGAACTGGGTGAAAAGGGGGGAACAAAGTATGCAGAGCAACAGATGGACAACAGTCTGCAATTGTAGAACTACAAAGTGCTCTGCTCCTGTATGTTAAGTGAAGTTGATTTTATTATATTATATATCAAATATAAATGTTTTAGGTTGTGCCCTGCTCTCCCATAAATGTGGGGGGAACCTCTATGTCTGGTATAGTGAGTATAAGAATTTTCTCTTCTTTCTTCTGTTGTAGGTGGCAACTTGGAAACGTCATCATTTCGTAAGTGTTTTTCTGTCTCTTACAGGCCCTGTAGTGTAAATGTTGAGTTTATGCGCAGATTGCTGAATAACTGTAAATTAAATTGTGTTCCAACTCCAGTCCTGTAGTCCACATGCAGTTGTGTGTTTTCAAAGCACTTTAAATGGGAATTCCACTGAATTTCTAGTGGTTCCAGCCTAATTAAATTGTTGAGATGTAAACAAAGTCATTCAGAGTGGTTTGATATCAAATGTGCCTTTCTAGAGACACTTTCTGAGTCTGAATTGTTCACAGTTTTGGTTACAGGAACCATCTGAAGAGTTTAATCCTTCAAAAAGCTTCATCACAGAAAGGAAATACATTAAATGGTTATGAATATATTGATGTCTGAGACTTTGTTTAACTTGTTTTAAAATAGCTTTGAGAGGGTTTTGGCCTAAAACATATGTATTTTAAATATATTCATGGCAAAGAGGTACATACAGGGTGTACCTAAAGAAGACTTGGAGATTTATGACTATTTTATCATCAACAGTACATATAAAAACTTAGAAGATGTATGAAGATTCCCTGGTCATGGTGGGAAGTAAATGAAATGGTTATTTTTGAGTTGTAGACATTGCTATCACCACCACTGTGAAGAAATCAGTAGTCAGTAAGTTTCTCTACAATTAACCATTCCACTTTAAACCACTCTGAATGACTTTGTTGACGTCTTAATGGTTGAATTATGCAGAAATTTTGAAAGCATTCATGGATTTAAGTTACATAATCAACTAATGGGTCCATCTGAATCTGTGTGATCTACAGTATTAGTGCCAGGAAACAGTGGCATACATGAACAGAATAATGCACAATAGATGATGGTTCATTTTCAGATGTTTGGGCTTCTCAAGAACACCCTTAGAAATAGAACTTCCTACATGAGTTCTTTAAAGAAATGCCATGAAAGAACCACTTTTAGTTCTCTTAAGAACCTTTCAGTGATTGGTTCTTTGAAGACCCTTTATTGCAAATGAGATGTGTGAGTATAAAGAACCTTTTGCAGGCCCTCTAGTGACAATTCTGCTAGAGGAATGGAAATTGACTGATTATTTTTAATCAGTAACAAATAAAATATTTTCCCCTGTAAATATTAGATTAACTAGAAATTGCTGGATCTCTGTGTGTGAAATGTTGTGACTCTGTGCTGAGCTGCAAGTGAGCAACAAGGGCTGAAAATTGGAGGCGTGTTATCCTCCTCATCTGATGAGTCATTTCGGATTTTGTAATTAATACGCAATATTAAATACAGAGAAAAAGAGAAAAAGAAATCAGCCTGGCATTGGACAGAAGTATTTAGCTTAACCAATGATAAATGATGACTACTGTTAGAGGCTTGTCAGAGCAACAATGAGAAACAGATCAATCAAAATCAGTCATTGTTACCAGTGAAAACCAGTGACTACTGTTAGGAGCATATGACAATGAAAATGAGAGTTAAATCACTACTGTTAGAAGCCTATCATGATGATATGTTAGTATGAATATATGAAGAACTCAGTGCATTGAAAGGCAGGTGAAACAATGTCTATGATTAAATGGTTCCAGTTTGAGTCTGTGCAGGCAGCAGTATCAGTAGGCTTTCTGCACAGCATTGGACAGCAGGAAGCTACATGGTGGTTGAAATAGTCCAGAATGTGTTCGAGCAGAGGCACCCAATCAATGAAGTTGAAGCAACAGCATCAGATCCAGCAGGATACACAGACAGTTCTGTTTGGGGTGATTGAGAAGGGATAGTGTGAACTGAGTGCAAGCAGTGACTCCGACAGGCCCAGCTATTACAGCCTAATTAAAAAGGGAGAGCTAGAAAGTATAAAAGACATGAAAGTGCGCTGAGATATCAGCACCCCTCCTCTCCACAGTCAACAAACTGGAGTGAGTGTGTGAGAGTGGTGGGACGACAGCACCAACATTCTCAGTTTACCATAATACTCTGTCAGTGAACCTCCAGATATGCTACTTTTTATCTAACCGGAAAAAATAATGACCAAAGCCTCGACTAAACGAGTAGGTTTTTTAGCCTAGACTTAAAACTGTGTCTGAGTCCCGAACACTGACTAGAAGGTTATTCCAAAGGCTCTACCCCCTGATGTAACTTTATTCATTCTAGATACTAATAGTGAGCCAGCACCTTGTGATTTAAGTAGGCATGGTGATTCATAATCAGAGATAAGTTCACTGTAATGTAGTGTTGATAAAACAGTGTTGAAAGTTTGATAGGGTCAAACTTTCTAGTTCTTGTGAGGACTCTGGCTGCCGTATTCTGGACCAACTGAAGCTTGAAGGCTTTTGCTGTTTTGTCTGAGTTGAGTAGGAGGGTTACTCGACATCCAGTCTTTTATGTCTACACAGTTCTCTTCATAAGATAATCATCTGGTCATCAGCATAGCAGTGGATTCATGTCATGTTTACTGATAACAGTACCCAGTGGTAGCATATATAATGCAAACAATAAAGGTCTTAAAACAGAGCCTTGTGGAACACCCTACTTTACTTTTGTATATACAGATGATTTGTTGTTTGTATTCACAAACTGATAGCAATCAGCTAGGTATGAACCAGATCTGAACCAGCAAAACATTTCAAAACAGTCTACCCCAAGGCAGTTATAGTTTTTCAAAAGTGCTTCCCACCTTCAGGATACATCATCAGAAGAGGGTTTTCTTAGCCTATAAACTAGAATATCTCACTCTAGATACTACTGTAGTGTTGGTTACAAGTTTTCATTTAGGCTGAAACAAGTGGAACATCTCTAGAACATCTCTTGGAACATCTCTTCAATGTGAAGCAAAATGTGACCAACTGTCCTAAGTATCCTGTGCTTTTATCTGTCTTTTATCCTTTAGGTTGTGGGAATGCAAGTTGTAATAATTATTGTAATTTATGCGTGGAGTACCACCTGCCAAGGACTAAGTGCTATGAAGCTCTCATAATCGAACTTTGTACAGCTGACTTTATGAGAGAAATGAGTGCTATGAACAGCTCTAGCTGGTGCATGTGGGACAAAGTTAAAAGGTTAGTGTCTGTTTTTACGCTGCATTACATCAAATCATACAACTGCCATGTTGAGACCAGTTACTGATGCAAGACAATGACTTTCTGTCTGTCTATCTTTTTGGCAGTCCCTACAACTCACTGACCCAATGTACAGAGCATATAGCAGACTGCCTGTTGCTTCCCTGGCCCAACAAGCTGGTGGAGCAGATCTTTGTTGACATACACACCTCCTACTTCCAGGAATGCCCCACAGAGACACTGAGGGACCCTCCCCCCAATGTTATCTTTGCCCTCGTCATGACGCCTATATGCCTGATCCCGGCCATGGTGGTCCTTGTGGTTCTGAAGACGAAAAATGGGGACAGGCGGTCCTAATGGGTGAGGTGCCCCTCATTAGCTCAGTAACCTCCCACGAATGCTCTGAGGAACCTGCCCCTATGGAGGACTGGGGCTCATTCGCTTACTGTGTGCCAATGATCTGGAGGCAAAAATGGACCAAGGACAGGCTGAGACAGGATTATGTCAGGCATTACGTTTAAATGATTACATCTCCATTCCAGCTGCATAAAGGCTTCTTTGGAGTGATTCCACGTTTGGATCCTTAAATCTGTGGTTCTCGAAATGGTCCTCAGGGACCCCCTCAAACAGTCCATATGTTTGCTCTGCCTTTATGCCTTGCAACTAAGGTTGGAGCAAAAATGTGGACCATCTGAGGGTTCCTGAAAACTAGAGGACCACTGCCCTAAAAACCCTTTCAATGGATGTTTCATTCTACCACTTTTCAATCTAACCTCTATTTGCTGCATTTTTTTGGCATACGGTCAATTTAGGCAGTAGTTTAGATATTTTTCTCCAAGAACAGAAAATCTTTGACTCATTTTAACTATCACTATTATAAATTGGCCTTTTGCATCAATTACTTTATGGGTTCCCTGTTGTTTTCCCTACATACAGCGTCCCAAATCTATCTAAATTATTGTCTGGGGTAAGTGACTGTACACTACAGATGCAGACACTGGAGTATTCTTTAAAGAACCATTCACTGAAAAAGTTCTTTAGGGAACCAAAGGTGGTTATTTTTGACATCTCTCCACTGAACCCTGTTGGCACCTTTATTTTCAATCTCGCATCCAACTAGCTTGACCAAAGTCTCCTTTGCCCATTATTCTTAAAACCCAAGCTTCCCTCTTCTACATAGTTTTGAGCCAATAATTTATTATGTTCATGATTTCTGTAACATACCACAGACAGATGTAACATATCACAGTCATATTCAGTAATGATTAATGCAGTATTGTTTCTTCTTGATCATGTGTTTTGTCAGCAATTTCAGACACCTTGAGTTATGTGTCGTTAACACATCTGCCAGCTTTGTCTGTCATGCTCACTATTGCAAAAAGAAACTCCGCTCTCATTTGCTCTCTTACATATGCAAATGCTGATATTAAGCGGGACGGCCTGTGTGGTTTCAGGTCCATAGAGACTCCACACGCAGCTCACTCTATGTACTGTAACGTTTATTTTCTCTATCAGCATTTTAATGTAAATTTGAATGACAGTCAATTGACAAAAGCTATCCGGCTAGCTTGATATGCTTATACTAAAAACTTAATGTGTATTTCTATTATGACTCGAGTCATAAAAACTGACTCAAAATTGTGATATGACGACTAGGAGAGAATTTTATCCACAATTTTTCTTCATATTTGCCTCACCAATACAACAGAGAAGAAAAAAGAGAAAGTGTTTTGAACCGTTATAATGCATGCTGGAAATGAATGCTTCATGTGTTAGAAAGGAAACAGCCAAAAGGACTTTATTTCAGTCAAGCTGGATGAAATTTTATAAACTAATGCAAATGTATTATATTTGAAGGGTCTGGAATGAACAAGAAATTTGAAGGAAATATACAATTACACTGAAAAAGTGATGCATTGAATTTACGTGATTTATATATTCACATTATTTTCATACATTAGGTCAAATTCAGGGGGTGAGGGGTGGACATGGTCGCCCCACTTTTTGGCATTACATGAGACATTACAGCTTCACTACCTTTTATTTGCACAAACATTACGTAATTATTATCTCTCTCGTCCACACATATAATTCTTGTTAATAATATTCTGTTTTTGTGCTTTATCACTGATATCTAAAACATTATGTATCATTAGAAAATGTAACTCATACTTTGTTGACCTCGTTTTATGTATAAAAACATGTGGTGCTAGTTTTGTATGTAGGCTACAGTCTTTCAAAGTTGCAAGTTATCAGATTTGCATGAATAAAACATTTTTCATCAACACAGATTTGTCTTTTACTACTTTTGGCAGTAACTGTGTTGGTGTAATATGTTTTATTCATGTGGTGAGGATGATGTACATATTTCAATCAAGTATATAATCACTGTATATATATATACAAACTGAATTTGTGGTTTGTAGCACATGTCTGGCACATAACTGGTTATCATTTCTGTCATCATTTTAGTAATACCTGAGGCAAATATGAAAAAAAATATTAGGGAGCAACTGAACAACATGAATATCTCAGTTAATCACTGTGTATGTTATAATGATGTAACTCTTCCTCAGTATTATACTGACGAGCAGCTCACTAAATGTCCCTGTTCTAAGGTTCTGGAAACGAAACTGTATTTGTGGAGAAGAATGCAGACTTTGGTGTAACGTCCTGGGGAAACATTCAGGTTTAGCACAGTAGAGGTCAGGTTAAGGGTCAGAGCCAAGAGACAGTAGGAGAAAAAGATGCTTGTGGTAAAAGGGGTAGTTTAGATTACATAGAGGATTTTGGCCTGGAGAGTCTCACTTGCCTCTACTTTGCTATGATGTCTCTGGCATCTTAGGCCTTAATCTCAGCTATGATAGAACCAGCACACTCAAGTTACCCAACTTAACGTCTACTTTTTTAAACTGAATCTAGGCTTAATCCTGGTCTGCCATTCCTCCACACTACTAGAGTACTGAGTGTTGATGAAAACCAGACAGGAAAAAAGTTAAGATAAACTCTTGGAGACGTGTGTCTGTTTGAATGTTTTATATACTGGAAATGTAACATCTTTAACTTGTATTTTCTTTCTGTACCTTTGCACTTTTGGTTTTTGAACGACTATGAAAAAATGCGCTTTCAGTAAAACTGTGTCGGTCTACCCTGTGATGTACTGCACTACGGAGCTTAACGATCTGTGAACCATATTTTACACTGTTACTCTCGTAGCACTTCAACTTACAATTAAATGATGTCATTTAAGTACCGTCTCTGATGATGATGAATGAGTTTGCCTTGTACATTTGGGTTTCCTGTATAGATAGTAAAGACAGATGCTAGAGATTCTGAGGAAAAGAAAGTTTGAGCCTATGATTGGGGTCATATTCAGTTTCACATTGACTACAAGTCTTGCTCGTAGTATATTTATGACACTTAAAGCTTGTAATGGCTTAATTTTGGCATATCTTGCTGATCTTTTGAAGCTTAGCCTGTCCAGACTGCTTCATTCAGCTGAGGCTGGGCCTACCACAGGTATTACATAATCATGCTATATCACCTTTAGGGGCAGAAGGGAGTAATGTTTGTTTATTCAAACTCAAGCGGTATCTGTGGTCAGTTCGGAGCTAGTATTGACAGCTAGGAAGCCACTTTAGACTTGTCTGTTACTAGCTGCATGTAATGAACAATAAAAGACAATGAAATTGCTGATCTCAATTATTTATATTGCAATTAAATGCTGGCTAAAATTTTGCGTGACAGGTCTAGCTGATGAGGCTTACTGAAGACTCCTAGTTCTGTTGATGGGTCATTTTTTTTTCTTTTTAAAGATCCATAAAAGCATTCCAAAGAATATGAATGATTGCAAGTTTGATAGATCTTTCTGAATTCAGATTAAAAACATATTTCTTTCTTTTTTTTTGCATATGCTGAAAGTATAAGGACTAGTTTTTTGCCTGTTGTTTTCATTTAGTGTTTTATCTTTGCAATATTTGGCTTAAACTCCTGTGTAAAGCAGATTTTGTAACTAAAATGTAAAGTGCTTTCTAAGAAAAGGTGGTTAGAACTGTGTTGGTCATTAAAGTCTTTTTGAATATAAGAAACTAAACGAGATTGTTTGTTTTTTCTTTCAGCAAATCCAAATTCAAAAATTCAAGACCCCCCTCTGTGATACAAGGCCTTTTTTTTATTTCATGAGGTTATTTTATGTTATTTGTGGCATTGTAATGTCAAAATGAAGGTAAAGTCAGCATTTAACATGCTCATATGTACAGCCTACAATCTATATTTGTTTGGCAAAAAATGCAAGACAGAAAAAACACTTTATTGAACGAAAGAAAAGCTTTTAAAAAGTGATCGTTAATCAGTGTGAGTAGGTTATAGGTTGTGCGTGCCATCAAGATACTACAAAAAAACTTTTAATCAAATCCCACACACTTACACAACCATCTGGACACTTCTGGACCAAGTTTTTCTTTTTCTGTTTGGCAGGGTATGGTGGGAAAGAGAGGGCGATCACCCTCCTTTTTCTCCTCTTTCTCTCCTCCTCTTCCTCTCCCGGCCCAGGTCAGGTCATCCTCACAGCTCCGCCTTTCCTCACTGATCTCATCCAATCCTGCGTCACTTTCACAGCTCCCACAGGACAGGACACACCTCACACCGCAACCAACCCAGCCAGTCACAGCTGGCCAGAGGCTCCAGGCTTCTGTTTATGCCAGCAGAGTTGATTCTGTTGATTCTCAGGCATGGCTGGATCCACCCCAATAAAGCAGGATATTCACTCCCTTCCAGTTTCTGGAGCTCAAAATTCACAGAATCCCACATTTTGGTAAATACTACAGTCTAACTGTAATGAGTGCCACTACACAGCGTGGGATTCCCTGACCTGAGCCTCCACAATGTTTAGTTCAGTAAATCTGGCCTTCACTCTACAGTGAGAATCTTCAGAGTGAATATAGAACACTGCTGCCACCTTGTGGTCTTGGACTACTACATCTAAGCAGTATTACCAGTGCCGGTTTAAGGGGAGCCTGGCCACGTCTTATTTCTCCCGTTATGTCACATGAATCGCCAGAGGGCGCCCGTGAGCGAGTCCTCAATGAATGGGGTGATTGGAGCGAAACAGATAAAAACAAAAAGTTCAAATAGTTTCTCACCACTTGTCCAGGACCTTCCCTTACTTCTTAAATAATTGGTGGGCATTGCTGCTTTTGAGCGCTGTTTGGTTGGTATTACTGCTACTGAGCGCTGATTGGTTGGCATTACTGCTTTTGAGTGCTGTTTGTTTGGCAATACTGCTACTGAGCGCTGATTGGTTGGCAGTACTGCTTTTGAGTGCTGTTTGTTTGGCAATACTGCTACTGAGCGCTGATTGGTTGGCATTAGTGCTACTGAGCACTGATTGGTTGGCATTACTGCTACTGTGCGCTGTGTGGTTGGCATTACTGCTACTGTGCGCTGTGTGGTTGGCATTGGTGCTACTGAGTGCTGTTTGGTTGGCATTACTGCTACTGAGTTCTGTGTGGTTGGCATTAGTGCTACTGAGCGCTGATCGGTTGGTATTAGTGCTACTGAGCGCTGTTCGGTTGGCATTACTGCTACTGAGCGCTGTGTGGTTGGCATTGGTGCTACTGAGCGCTGTTCGGTTGGCATTACTGCTACTGAGCGCTGTGTGGTTGGCATTGGTGCTACTGAGCGCTGTTCGGTTGGCATTACTGCTACTGAGCGCTGTGTGGTTGGCATTGGTGCTACTGAGTGCTGTGTGGTTAGCATTAGTGCTACTGAGCGCTGTGTGGTTGGCATTACTGCTACTGAGCGCTGTTTGGTTGGTATTACTGCTACTGAATGCTGTGTGGTTGGTATTACTGCTACTGAGCACTGATTGGTTGGCATTAGTGCTACTGAGCCCTGTTCGGTTGGCATTAGTGCTACTGAGTGCTGTGTGGTTGGCATTAGTGCTACTGAGTGCTGTGTGGTTGGCATTAGTGCTACTGAGCGCTGTTTGGTTGGTATTACTGCTACTGAGCGCTGATTGGTTGGCATTACTGCTACTGAGCGCTGATTGGTTGGCATTACTGCTACTGTGCGCTGTGTGGTTGGCATTACTGCTACTGAGCGCTGTGTGGTTGGCATTGGTGCTACTGAGCGCTGTTTGGTTGGCATTACTGCTACTGAGCGCTGTGTGGTTGGCATTGGTGCTACTGAGCGCTGTTTGGTTGGCATTACTGCTACTGAGCGCTGTGTGGTTGGCATTGGTGCTACTGAACGCTGTGTGGTTGGCATTAGTGCTACTGAGCGCTGATCGGTTGGTATTAGTGCTACTGAGCGCTGTGTGGTTGGCATTGGTGCTACTGAGTGCTGTGTGGTTGGCATTAGTGCTACTGAGCGCTGTTCGGTTGGCATTACTGCTACTGAGCGCTGTGTGGTTGGCATTGGTGCTACTGAGTGCTGTGTGGTTGGCATTAGTGCTACTGAGCGCTGTTCGGTTGGCATTGCTGCTACTGAGCGCTGTTCGGTTGGCATTACTGCTACTGAGCGCTGTGTGGTTGGCATTGGTGCTACTGAGTGCTGTGTGGTTGGCATTAGTGCTACTGAGCGCTGTGTGGTTGGCATTACTGCTACTGAACGCTGTGTGGTTGGCATTGGTGCTCCTGAGCGCTGTTCGGTTGGCATTACTGCTACTGAGCGCTGTGTGGTTGGCATTGGTGCTACTGAGCGCTGTTCGGTTGGCATTACTGCTACTGAGCGCTGTGTGGTTGGCATTGGTGCTACTGAGTGCTGTGTGGTTGGCATTAGTGCTACTGAGCGCTGTTTGGTTGGTATTACTGCTACTGAGCGCTGATTAGTTGGCATTAGTGCTACTGAGTGATGTTTGGTTGGTATTACTGCTACTGAGCGCTGATTAGTTGGCATTAGTGCTACTGAGCGCTGTTTGGTTGGTATTACTGCTACTGAGCGCTGATTGGTTGGCAGTACTGCTTTTGAGTGCTGTTTGGTTGGCAATACTGCTACTGAGCGCTGATTAGTTGGCATTAGTGCTACTGAGTGATGTTTGGTTGGTATTACTGCTACTGAGCGCTGATTAGTTGGCATTAGTGCTACTGAGTGATGTTTGGTTGGTATTACTGCTACTGAATGCTGTTTGGTTGGCATTAGTGCTACTGAGTGCTGTGTGGTTGGCATTAGTGCTACTGAGCGCTGTTTGGTTGGCATTAGTGCTACTGAGTGCTGTGTGGTTGGCATTAGTGCTACTGAGTGATGTTTGGTTGGTATTACTGCTACTGAGCGCTGATTAGTTGGCATTAGTGCTACTGAGTGATGTTTGGTTGGTATTACTGCTACTGAATGCTGTGTGGTTGGCATTAGTGCTACTGAGTGCTGTGTGGTTGGCATTAGTGCTACTGAGCGCTGTTTGGTTGGTATTACTGCTACTGAGCGCTGATTGGTTGGCAGTACTGCTTTTGAGTGCTGTTTGGTTGGCATTACTGCTACTGAGCACTGATTGGTTGGCATTAGTGCTACTGAGCCCTGTTCGGTTGGCATTAGTGCTACTGAGTGCTGTGTGGTTGGCATTAGTGCTACTGAGTGCTGTGTGGTTGGCATTAGTGCTACTGAGCGCTGTTTGGTTGGTATTACTGCTACTGAGTGATGTTTGGTTGGCATTACTGCTACTGAGCGCTGATTGGTTGGTATTACTGCTACTGAGCGCTGATTGGTTGGTATTACTGCTACTGAGCGCTGATTGGTTGGCATTACTGCTACTGTGCGCTGTGTGGTTGGCATTGGTGCTACTGAGCGCTGTTTGGTTGGCATTACTGCTACTGAGCGCTGTGTGGTTGGCATTGGTGATACTGAGCGCTGTTCGGTTGGCATTGCTGCTACTGAGCGCTGTGTGGTTGGCATTGGTGCTACTGAGTGCTGTGTGGTTGGCATTGGTGATACTGAGCGCTGTTCGGTTGGCATTGCTGCTACTGAGCGCTGTTTGGTTGGCATTAGTGCTACTGAGTGCTGTGTGGTTGGCATTAGTGCTACTGAGCGCTGATCGGTTGGTATTACTGCTACTGAGCGCTGTTCGGTTGGCATTACTGCTACTGAGCGCTGTGTGGTTGGCATTGGTGCTACTGAGCACTGATTGGTTGGCATTAGTGCTACTGAGCGCTGATCGGTTGGCATTAGTGCTACTGAGTGCTGTGTGTTTGGCATTACTGCTACTGAGCGCTGTTTGGTTGGTATTAGGGCTACTGAGTGCTGTGTGGTTGGCATTAGTGCTACT